AAGATCCTGGTCAGTTTTAGCATCAGGAAAAGATCACATGACATCATGTTATCTAAAATATATGAAGATCCCAAATAAAGTCAGAAAAGACAATAATTGACTTAGGACTCCATCAGTTTCACGTGAAAACTCATCTCTTTTTAAAAAACCATCCTCATGGAAAGCTGGAAGACTTCAGTCACTACTACCAGTCAAAAATATGCAAAGGTCCAGTTACATACTGGGAGACACATGTGTCGCTGTTACCAATGGCTATCAGAGGATGTGACCCCATAGACACTAAGGAACTTGCTAAAGTACAATAGGTATGATGGAAATTGTAGAAATGGACACGTTTAAAAGAGACCTATGGCCTCATATAATAACCAAGGAAAATTCCTATAGGCCATATTTGAAGAGTGGTTAAAGAATAGTCACTGAAAAACTTAGATTGTCAATATGGCTTACCAATGGCCACCAGAAGATCTATCTGAGACCACATAAAGACTAAGGACATTAATGGACAATTAACCTTTAAGGACTAAACATAGCAAATACGTCTTATTATTCAAACACAGCTCACCAAAGTCAGACCCCATGATGTGAACACACTCCAAAAACTAGCTTCTTGACAAAGAAATAATAATAAAAAGAAGTCACATAGTGGATCCCCGGAATACTAGGCAGCCCAAGCATAGCAGGCAACTAATAAAGATGGTACCCCTAATAGGTAAAATTGGTTAGCATTTAATTGGATAGAATAAAATAGTATAGGCTAGTAGTTATAAGAATTGTTCTTATAAATCAACTATATATTCCATAATATCTGATCAATAAAAGTTCAGCCAGTATGATTAATTAAAAAAAAAAAAAAAAAATTTTCTAGAATTTGATGAAAATTCGTATTTTGGTGCTAAATAATCTTCAAATATATTATTTATTTCTTCATCATTATCAACTTTAGATACATCATTTTCAAAACTTGCATCATTTAATCTCAGATTTTATTAATTGTTGCCTAACAACATAATTTAACTTGATGAAATATTTTTCATTTTGTGTCGAAATGTAACTTCTTCATTTGTTGAATACTCACCTTTTGTTTTTCAATATCTATGTGAAAATTCTGTTTGTGAATCAACAAGTGATTTATTGCGTTTACTACAGTTGCAAGTAATTTTCACTTTTTTTGAATTTTTTCTTAAACTTTCGTTAAGTTGAAATTGAATACTTTTTTGATATTTTGAAAATTGACAAATAATAACATAAAGTAGAAAATTTGTAATTAATATATTAAATAGCTTTGAATTGTAATATAATATAAGTATAATATGATAAATAATATATAGTATAATATAGTATGTGATTCTGAATTGTAATATAATATAATAAATAATTGTATAATATTGTATGTAGCCCCAAATTGTATTAAAACAATACAAATAATTTTATTTAAATATCTCTTTAATTTAATATTTCTTTCTGATACCTAAATTGTCTGAACAAAAAAAACCAACTGAATGTGTTTTTTACAGATAACAGTTACCTTCATCTTTGCAACCTTCACAACTTTTCTTACTATCGCAAACTTATTTCGTATTAACTGTATCAGAAGCGGCAACAGTTTGTTCAGTAATACCTGGTGCCAAATCTTTAATTCCTATTATGGCTATTAATTGCTTAAAAGAAGGCTATCTATTGTATTGCCTAAAATATTGGTATCTGAAGTTGCGTGAATAAGTTGAATTGCCACCCAAAACTTGAACCAGAGAGAATATTAAAAAAGGCTAGAATTAAATTATTGCTGAATTATTAAAATTTATCTTTATTAACTAACTGATTTATTTAGAAAATGAAGAATTATGTGTGCGGATCAAAACACTAGAAAAAGAAAATACTGAATTTGTAAAACAATTAGATCTAATGGAATATATTAACAACAAGTTTTCCGAAGAATTAGAATAGCAAAAAAAATGAAATAGAAGATTTAAAAAAGGAAATTGATTAGCTCAAATCTGTGGAACCTGAACTTGATCCTATAGTTGTTGTAGAATCTAGAGCAGCCAATATATTAGAATCTAAAAGTTTGCTGAGTTTAGAAAAGTACCGAAGAATTTAACCTAGAAGAAGTAGTAAAGAGAAAAAATCAGTAAAACTGGTTACCAAAGATGAGTCAAAACCAGAAGAAGTGAGAGCAGAAATAAAGGCCTTAATGAAAACCATTCCTAACGAATATAAACTGAGAGTAGATGAAGTTTTTTCAAGTGATATTAATAAAAAAATATTACAAAAGTTGATATACAAATTAATAAAATCCATGGCCCCATGTTTTAATCTCTTATGAAAGCAAATAAATGAATAGCTAGATGCTTTACATTACCATCAGAAAGGAAGATATCAGAAAGCAGAAATTGGAAAACTGGAAGCAGACAATCATTGCTTATATGCAAATAGCTGGTTAAATAAAGTAAGATTAATAATACTCTGTATTTATACTACCTTCAAGTATTAATTTTTAACGAATAATTAAGAAAGGGCATAAAAAAATAAAAGTACACAGTTACTTGTTGAATGAAGGTCAAAGAAAGTTGTCAAATATTGGGATAAACTAACCGATGTAATTAAAAAAACAAAGATATATTCACCTGAAGAAAGTGATACTAATCCAGAAAACCTCACTAAAAGAAGAATAAATCTATATAATTACAATTGAAATTTTGAAGATGTATTTTTTGATAAAATATTCTATGTTGAATAATTACAATATTAATCATAATTACTTATAGTTAAAGGATTTATTAAAATATTTGAATAAAAATTCAAAATCAATTTAAGTGTTCCAGCTGACTTAAAAATGATAGCATGATAATTCATAATTCTATAATATGACTCCACCAGAAGGCTTGTTTAATTGGACATACAGTTTGGAAGAAATTTCAAAACGTGAACAAGAAAAAGAGACAGGAAAAGATAAAAAATCAGCAGATAAATTCAAAAGATGAAAAATTACTGAATATGAAAAATCATTAATATATTCAGAGAATGAGAAACAAATTGGAGAAAGTACATAAATAAGTGAAATTTAGGAGGCAGTTAGGTTAGAAGAAAAAAGTGAAAAATCTTGGAAAACATTTGACAAAGTAAAACCAATTAAGACTAGTTTTAAAAGAGTCAAGTCAAGATCTTTAAAGGGAAAAGAAAAACAAGTGAAAAAGAAGAAAGAAGAAAATAACAAATAATTTAATTAATTGATTTTGTAATTTTTTAATAAATTTCGTAAAATTTGAATTTTTTGTCACAATAATTTTTTTGTCGAATTTTTTTCACAGTAATTTTTTTACTAAATTTTTTTTCACAGTAATTTTTTTGTTAAATTTTTTTTAACAGTATCAATTTTTTTTTGCCAAATTTTTTGCTACAGTATTAATTTTTTTGTTAAATTCTTTGTCACAATATCAATTTTTTTATCAAATTTTTTGCCGCAGCATCAATTTTTTACTGAATTTTTTGTCACAGTATTAATTTTTTTGTCAAATTTTTTGTCGCAGTATCAATTTTTTATCAAATTTTTTGCCACAGTATTAATTTTTTTGTCGAATTTTTGGCCACAGTATACAAAAAATTTTTTGCCACAGTATGCAAAATTTTTTTTTTGCCACAATATTGTCAAATTTTGTGCTGAATTTTTCTTCACAGTATGTTAATATTTTTTATCAATTTTTTGTTGATATTTTTAATACTGAGTGACAACAATCATGAATAATTTATCAATCTTTTTATTATTAATTTTTATCAAATTTGGCAATAATTCAGCAGTCAAATAATACAATTTCGACTAGTGTACTTAAGAAGTTTTAATGAATACCCTGAACAAAATTTTCTTCCCTTTATATAAGTCACACAGCAAAGTATTATATACATAGATTAACTATCCCATCCACTTATTTATTTTCTGATCTTTCTTTTTTTTCTTCCTCTTAAAATTTTTCAGCACTAGTGATCTTTTGCTAGTTCTCACTTTAAAAACTGCAACATGTCCAAAATTAATCAGTATAGTCATATTATTAGCTTTATAGGTTTATAATTATATTTTTTAACATGTATTATATTTACATTTAAAAACTATATCCAATAAAGTAAAGGTTAAGCTGACATTTAAAAAAAAAAAAAAATTTATAATATTTTTAATTAATTTATTTTATTTAGATATAGAATCTCAAATTAACAAGGTTTTCATAAATATTTAATCACAATTTCTTTAAATTATAAGTACAATATATAATCAAAATTTGATAAATATATAAATATTGATAACATTGAAATTTTGATATATGTTAAAATAAAAAATAATGGTTTTTTGAGAAAATTTTTAATAATTTGTTTATTATTCATTTGCAAAATATATAATAGAAATATGTTAATATCAAATTATATTAATTAAAGATTTATTTGTATCAAATTATATAGTACAAATATTAAATTATATAATAAAAATAAATTAACAATTTATTTATACTATTAATTTGCTAAATTATTTATTTTTTGATAAATATTACATGAGTAGCATTATGTTAAATAAATATTTTTAGACTAGTGCGACTTAATTGCAGATTAAAAAAAAAAAAGTTAAACAGTATTATAATTTTAATAATATTGATTTAATTTATTACATAAAATTTAAATAAATTACTTTTATTATTTTTTTATTGCACTCAATTATATTTCAAATATAATAATATTTTTATATTATTCTATTTATTAAAAATTTATAAATGTATTATTTTGGCACAAGATTATTTTGCTATAACTTAAACGTTTTTTTTTTTTGTAATCAAACTTACACATTTAAAAATACTCTTTCAAACGATATACTTTTTAATCAAAGTTCAGACGCCAAGATCCGTACCTAAAGCAGTTACTTTTTACCGATGTTTCCGTTTTTTGCTACGTAACAAGGTTCAGGCAATATTAAGTCAAAAAATAAATAATAGTATATGATATGCATATATTTTATGTAAACCTCAATCATACCTAACGCGTACCCTTGGCTCAACGATGTTGCGCTCTTCATAGCTGACCATTCGTTCTCTAAATAAATTTCCTTCGGGCTATCGATGAAAGTTCGATGATAAATAAAATGTCATGTTGACATGGTTATCAATTAATAGAATTACAAGAACAAACCTTAAACTGCCTAAAGGTAGGTTTCAACTCGTCTGAAAGCAGCACATCGGTTGGCGTCTTTCGTACTCTAAATATTTAATGATCATGTTTTGAATAAATGGGTCACCTCATTCCTAAACCAATCTCAAAGTAATTACGCATACCGATATTTTCCAATTTTGCTTTTTGGCAAATTCTTTGTTTCCGCAGCTAATCTTTTCCGTTCGATTAACTTTTTTTCGTGTTCATCGAATTCCTGTTCTACTTTATCGATAATCTCCGGAAGCCTTAAGAATGTAAGGTTCGTCATTAAACTGATGAAAATTTAATCCATCTAACATTTCGTAAATCAATTAACCTTTCCAATTTCTTTTTCTGATCTTTTTGTGCCTTTCGTCTTTCTTCTTCCCTCAATCTTTCAATTATTTTCTTTTGTTTCCTTCGTTCAGCTTTAGTTTTCTGACGTTGATCTTTAACTTTATTCTGTACATTTTCTCCATTTTCATTCCCATCATTTTCTTCTAAATCAGAATCTTCACCCTTATCGCTACATACTGCATCTCCAGAAGTGGAAATCTCTACTGTGTACGGAGGAATTTGAGATTTAATTCGCTGCCATTGCAGTAATTTTGTTTCTTCTTCTTTATGGGCGATCATCAGGAGTTCCTGTTAATTTTCATAAATGTGTTCATGGAGGATTCGTGTATTTACTTTAATGTACGTTTGCAACAAAACCTGATGGGCTTGCGCTTCAGGCATGTAACTTGATCCAGGATGCGGAATTCGAACAGCTGGTGTATTCCCTGCGGGTTTCGCATTTAGCGTCGGAGGAGGCTTACCGATGTCAAAATATAAGTAATGTGGTTAAAAGTATAAAGATAATATCATTACGACATAAAATTCACCTTGATCTTTCGCTTCTTTTGCGGATGAGAGACTTCATCAGAATCTTGGAGTGATTAATGAATAAAAAAAAAAAGTTTAACACCAATAAAAAATTGCGCAATAAGAATCAAATCAATAATACATAAATATAACTCAACCTTGTAACCATATATCATATTCCCCTGATTTCAAGACAACCTCTTTGTCGGGTTTATCGTATTTGCTCTGCATCGATTTTTCCACACTCATTTCGGTAAACTTTGAAGTTTTTTTCCCATGTTTTTGCTTCAAAGGTTTCGAATAGACTGGCGGGATTTTGCTTCGAGATTCCAAAATTTGATCAATGCGTAATTTGGCAAGTCTTTTTTTTATCTTCTTCTGAACTGACAAATTGAAAGAATAAGAATTTCGGATAAAATTCAAGTAAAGACAACGGCCATTTTGTCTAACCTTCAACATCACCCTGCGTGTCTATGAAAAAAAGTTTTTCGGTGGGCAATTCTTGAATTTTACCGCTAATTCAAAATGTGAGTGGTTAATGATCAATTTTAAAGCGCACGAATGGGCCTCTAGGATATTCTCATTCACCCGAGCACTCTCTCCTCGTTCCTTATCTCTTCCAACGTCTCCTCAATCTCCGTAATGTCAACATTCTTTCGCCAGGCCTTTTTCCCCTTGCGGCTCGGCTGCGTGGATTTTTTGGTTTTTAAAGTAGACATCTTATCGTACATGCCCATCTTGCAATTCAGTTTTATTCGCATGTGATCCCTAGATGAAACTCACATGCCTATCGTAATTTCCACATTTTCTTTTTCACATGAAAAGCATGGATGCTCCTTGATCGTTTTCTCTCACAGTACTTAAGATTTGACCGTCGCGGATCAATAACGGACTTAATTGAAAACCTTTAAAACTTAGCCCTTGAATCAAGTAATTTACTTTTTTTCCCTCGTTAATAAAATTTTTAAAATGTTGGTGAAGGTAAGATCAAAATTAATCTCTTGGGAGGTAACTTGCTTTGCATTTGACACAGCCTTTTTTCCAGATTATATCCTTCTTCTTGTCCCCGTTTTTGACGCTTTTCGACCCTATATTATCATGGATTACCGACGCGTTCACTTCGCAAAAAACGCAACGCACAGCGGTGAAGTCAATTATTATCGGAATCGTTATTTTTGTATTGGTCTCAATCGCTTTCTTCGCATACATGGGCTTCTACGTGATTTATGTACCTAAGATCGCTCATATGAAAGAAATATATTTACAATACGAGTGAGTTTGTCGTCTTCATTCCCATTTGCCAATCGCTTATTCTGAAAACTGATTGAACTTTTCAAAGTTCTTATGGTTTTGTTCAAACAGTAAGGGTCCAGGCCTGAGTGGCGTAGTGGACTTTTCTGAAAATGGCCGATATCGCAGAGTGAGTTTTTTTTTATATTTCCTCTCCGGAATGGCTTCAAATGACTAATATTTCAAATTTCTAGATTCTGACTTCGGGTCAAGCCTATGACATTTCGATTGATCTAGACGTCCCTGCTTCGGAAACGAATATTAAATTAGGTTGACAATTTAACAGTCCATAAATTATACAAAAATTTTCGTTCATGATATTAAAGATCGAATAAATATTATAGGAAATTTTATGATTGCTTTGAAGTTATGGTCAAGTGTGTTGAATGACACGGTTGCAGAATCGAGCCGTCCAGTAAGTGAAACTTTACGCGTAGTGTGAATCACGCAAATTTAATTACTACTGATAAATTTGTTATTTTAGTGCATTCTTACGTATCAGTCGCGTTTACTTCGAGTATCCTCAACTATATGGCGATTGATTCCCTTAATATTAGGATTTTCGAAAGAAGATCAGAGATTGAAAATTCCAATGATAGAGAATATTATTGAAAGAAGTGTAAAATGCCTATTTCTTCATTTCTTAATTAACATCTCGTACGTTTGATGATAAGTTTACATACTTTTATGTAGGATGCGCCAATAACCAAGGCATTAATTTATATTTCAAACAACCAACTCAACACGTATGACGCCAAAATTCGATTGGACGCCCATTTCAGAGGCCTACGGTATTTAATTAAATTATGACTAGGTTGTTGCCTTTTGTTTTTTTAATACTTACTTTATTGATTCTCAACTTTAAAGATACTTCATGTACTATTATCCCGTGTCGACGGCAATTTCATTCGTGATATTATTTCTTTTCTGGGAAATATTCTTCTCGATTGTCGCATGGAAAGTAATCGTTTCTAAGTGGTCAGAAAATCTTCCTGAAGATCATCGTCCAAAGACTCGAAAGAGAATAGCTGCTGGGACTGATGACCAAAGTGCAACCAGTCAAAATTTGGGTAGTGATAATCGGGCGAGTATTCCGAATAACGATACAACTGAGAGATCCGAAGCTGAGAGAGTGCTGACGACTGAGGCAGAAAGTGAATACGAATCGGTAGGTTATGTTAGTGTCCATTTCATAATTAATCTCTCGGTGGTTAACATTGGTACGCCGTTTACAGTCACGACCTGGATCTGTAATTTCACCTCTTACCGAAACTGGTAATAATACCGAATCCGCGGTGGATGATGACTTACAAAGCACGGATGAAGATCCCACTGAGACGGAAATCGAAAATGACGACACCACGAATGATGATGACGAAGAGCACGAAGGAAATGCTACGCCAACACGAAGTACAACGTCGGGCGTTTCGGAAGCTAATTCCGATGAAGAGGATCCTAGCATTGGCACTTCAACGAGCAGATCACATATTAGGTCGCGAGCTTACAGGCGAAGTAGTTCAGGTGCTGGTGTCGAAAGTGATGACGAACAATGAAAAAAAACCCACTTTGCATATTACATTTACTGAAACATGAAACTATATGCGCATCATTTATTTTATTATATTATTCTTCGTGTTTTTGTTTCTATAACTTTCATATTCGGTTCTTTTGTCGTGTTAATGTAAATGGCTCCATTAAACTTAATCAATTCGGATAATTGGATAATCAAAAGAATTTGTTGTAGAATCGTTCAAATGGTCTGAAAGGCGTCAATAATGGAAGACCGTAGCTTCTTACAAAAGGGCTTTGTGTCGTAGTCCCAGAAGGATTAGCAAGGCTATGTCGACAATAGATAGTTCATAAATTCAAAGCGCGTTTCATTGTGCCAATTTGATAATAAATCGGATTCTTGGTCGTTTATACTACTTTTGTACTTAATACTTACGTGCTAAATTCAACTTTTCTTAACCATTTTCCGTTTAACTTCCTAGCAGTTCTTGCGTTTGTCTTTGTTCTCTGTCCCCTTACCGGATAGCCCATGGCGTGTCTTTTACCCTTGTATGAACCAATTGCTCTATGGTGTAAAATATTGTTTCGTACTTCTCTTCTCAAGTCACTTTCTATATTCATATTAGACAATTCTAATGAGAGTTGTTGGATTTTGTCCTCTGATAATTCATATAATTTGCAGGTTTTATGAATTGATAATTTGCTACAAATTTGCTGTGCCGTTTTGTGCCCTATGCCATAGAAGTATGTCAGGGCTATCTGTTTCGTTGATATAGTTGTTGTTTACCGGGAAATAAGATTCATTTTTTTTTTTTGAAAGGATGAGTAATAAAAGGTCGTGTTGCATACCCTTACGAGCTTATTTTCAGGCAAATTAACACCGAGAATAAGTTGCACCATGATTAGAATGACGAGAACTGGAAAGTACATCTAATCAAAAAAAAACAATTTATATTTGTATCACGACGATCTGCATTACCATATTTATCTCTAATTTTAATCCGAAGGATAATATAAAAATTATTAATAGTTAAACTACATAAGAGGGAGAAAAACCTAATAAGAATAATAATAATAACAATTTAATATGTTCTCAAATATAATATTGAAGATCAATTAAAGTAAATTATTTATTTATTTATTCTTTTTTTAATTTACAGTAAAATCATGTTATCATTATATATTTTTATTAAAATTCTTATTAATCACAATTATATATTTAATAATATTATTAATATTAAAGCAAATTTTTTAAAAAAGACTATTATAATATCAAAAGATAAATAAAAAATATAAAACATAATATTTTTATTTTTTATCAAGTTTTTTAAATAGTAAAAAAGTTTTTTTAAAAAGAAAAATAAGATTTTCAAGCTTTTATTTAAACAAAATCAAGTTTTTGAAATGACTTCTTTATTTAAATCAAATAAGCTTTATTGTAATATAATATTGATTTTTTTTTTTTTTTTAATACCCATGGTCAAGTCAGTACTATGTGTTTATTAATCATTAAAAAAATCAATAGAGATATATAGGGCAATTGTATTATCTAAACTAAAAGACTCATACTGACACACTCGTCAACAACTTACAATTCTTAAAAGAGCTTTAGCCTCTAAGTGCAACCTTGAGAACAATATTTCACTTCAAACTAAGTTTTGGATAAAGATCCTCCTAACTTATCCATCATTG